GTGCTCCAACGTTCACTTGATCTTCAAGACCAAGCGACGTCCACGGATAATTCCTGAGTCATATTCTCCACTCCACAGGCCACGTGATGGCTGCATGGACAGGTTTGCTGCGTTTGTTGAGCTGAATGGACAGGTTGCTGCGGTCAGGCAATCAGCCTGCAGCATTGTTGAGCGGTCCTCATCCGTGGAAAACATATCAGGAGCTGTTGTAGGAGGCATGTGCTACGCTCGAAGTACTTGTGCGCGATAGAAGTATAGTTTCTGTTTGAAGCTTTGCATTGTCTCCACATGTCTGGCTGCAGCCCAATGAGCAGCGGCAGAGGGGAGAAAACCCACTCGAAGCAAAAGTGATGATCACAACCAAATCAAACTAAAGTCGGTGGACTCGCTCCACTTGCAATAAATTCACTGAGCTTGTCAAGTGCATAATCCGTTGAGGCCTTCTCTTCACCACCTGGAATCAGGGCGCTCAATAGTGAAGACTAGGTTGCTTGGACAGGCTCAGACTTTTGGGCTCTTAGGACAGTGTCAGAGTTGTCGTCACTTAAAGAACTCACATAAAGATGTCAAAATTAAAAGACAAAAACTCTAGCAGACCCAGCTCGCATCACTCTGCTGAATGATCCGAATCTCTGGTTAAAAAAAAAGAATATATTCGTACTGCAGAGGATCAACAAACTACTTGTAGACGTCGCTCGAGTCTTTACAAATTGGTGCGGGGGTGAATTCTTGTGAATGAGAATCTTGGAATTCTTGTGAATGTTAATCGTTTCCTAATTTTATCCAGCTTGGCCAGCCTCCAAATAGTCCCCCAAAAAGGCCACCGGCCGTTGCACCGGCCGCCGCGCCGCCCGCAGCGGCTGCGCCACCGAACCAGCTAGAAGACTCAGTCACATGGTGTGCGCACTTCTTGAGGGGCCGCCACAAGGAATTCACCAGGATGTCTATGTTTCGGACAGAAGCTTCAACATCTTTGGATGAGGGTACACACATGGAAACAGCGTGATATGACTTGCTCTTGGCAGCTCTCAGCAGCAGGATGTTTTCAGGCATGGGACGTATTGAAGTTAATGAAACATCTGAACTAGCCTGGCTTGTTTGGTCAATCCTGAGCAGCAAGCAGCTGGCTCACTACCCCCCTCCACCAAACCAGCTGCTAGATGCCTGGCAGAATGATCCAAACAACGCAACAAAAAGATACAAGTCACCCAGTGCAAGAGCGACCTGATGTGACCAAACAGCTTTGAATGTCAAACATGATCCATTTCCTAAGAAGAAGGAGGCCTTCTCTTTTTGCAAATCCTCAAAGCCGGGTCTCTAGCACGGCGAGATTGTCTCAACAGTCCAGTTCGACATCCAGCTCAGCTGAGGGCACCAAACGGTCTTTTTGTTGTTTTGGCCCGAGAGGGAGGGCTCGAGATTGCCGCTTTGATAGCGACTTGGGGCCCCAGATCTCACAACGAGATCGTCGTCTTGACGCCATAGGGTCTCCCTCGTGGCATAGGAAACTACGAAAGCGCCGGCAACGTCTGAGGTCCTACATCCGTAGGCATCGGGACAAACTCTTCCCTACTGAAAGGGTTTTGGACAAGCTGCTATCTGCCAGAAAGGTTCTGGCGCTACACCATACTAAGGCCTGCTACCCTCTCAAAGCTATAGCTCTTCGCGAGAACATGCGAAGGGCCGACAGCAGCAATGGTCTACGTGGGAATCTTGGAATCAGACCCCACAGAAGAAGAATCGAAAATGGCAGAAAGACCTCGACAAAGAGCCGGCCTTCTATGGGTACGATGGCAAAAAGGTGAAGGTAGAAGATGCGAAGATGCTGCAGACCGTACCTTTGGCCTATGCCCTCCTCGGACAACTCGCTCAAGGACGAGAACAAGCAGCTCAAAGCTGCAGTCAAGTTTGTCCTGGAGAATATGTCCGGCAAGGTGGAGATTCCTGCAGACTTCCAGGACTTGGTGAAGGAAGATCCACGCGAATCCCTACGAGAGCGGCAGAAGGCTCTCAATCAAGAGAGACGTGGATTGAACCGCCTGGAGAAGGTCAAGGATTCGATCGAAAAGGAAGAGGGCAAGTTCCGCTCATGGAAGGAGTGGATGAGCTTGGGATTGAAGCAGGAGGAGAAAAGGCATGGAGATGCTCTGACTCAGCTTCAAGAACAATTGCGCTCCTTGGAGCGCCAGCGAGATGGGGTGGATCCTGTGGAGGTGGATTCGGAGTCAGATGCCGAAGGAGTCAAGCCTGCCATTGTACATCTGGAAAAGGAGCTTGCTGGGATGCGGCAGGATTTCAAAGATCTCACCACCTACACTGCACAGCTCGAGCATCGCAATTATCAGATGATCGACAACATGCATTCGCAGATGATGGCTATGCTTACCAAGCTTGCAGACGATGGGTCACTCCATACAGAAGCTCTTCGCAAGTCGCCGGAGCAGAAGATTCACCAAGATCTCGATGAACCTCACGCCCGAGAAGCCAGAGAGACGTGGGCGTTCCAGATCACGAGGTCGAGGAGATTGTGGAGAGACAGAGAAGAAGGGGCCGGGGAAAGACGATGTTCATGCTGGATTGAAAGAGAAGTTGAGTGGACTCCCAGAGGTTTGTCAAGCAAAGATCTTGGAGATCTTGAACTCCAATCTGGACAGTTACAGTACCCGACCTTCGACAGTGTGGACAAACTCATCCAGGAGGTGATGTCGTCATTCACTGCAGCTGGCCCTCCTGGACTTCTGCCTGTGAAGAAAGAGCCGGAGGACGAGAAGGTGACTCCGAAGAAGAGGGTGAGGGATGCCCTCCTTCCTTTCGGAGACAATGGATCGGTGCCCAAGATTGGTGCAGACAGTTCGCCTGGAGCAGAGCACGATATGTGGACTCAGAAACCACAGGTGTTCGACCGCTACGCAGTCGATCGGTGCCTTGGGGCTTGCCCTTCCTTACGAAGAAGGAATCTGCTCAGATCATGACTGGCAACCTTTTGTTAGGAGTGGCCCTACGGCTGTTTCTGGTATGTCTGCTTTCAGGCTCGACTGCAATCTTGGAGCACCCTGCCGAACCAGGCGATCGTCCAGATATGCCATCCATGTGGCGGCTGGATGTCGTTCAGCTCTTTTTGCGTTTCCCCTTTTGTCAACGACTGAGGATCTAGCATCGGGAAAGACGCCCAAGGCGTTTGGAACACTAGCCGACTGAAACAATATCCCGGTGCACTCTGTAAAGCTCTTGCACAGATCTTCTTAGCTGCCCAGACTGACGAAGGGGCAACTGATGTTCCCGAGTGGTTTGAAGCTGCTGTACAGAAGTTGGTGGCCCGATTCGACACTGAGGCGCCGATGGGCCCTGACTACCATGCAGCGGCAGTGTCTTCTGCCAATTCGTAATTAAACTACTAGTCACAAGCGAGACGCTCTTGGCGAAAGTGAAAGAAAGAAAGCCCGAGAGAGGTAAGCTTAAGTAGGTAGTGACTACTAAGCTCAAGTAGCTTCTTAAGCTTGGACCGAGAAGGGATCAGGCTAAATGATTGTGTTCCTAGGTCTTTTTGGGAAACTTTATGTTCATGCATTCCTTCTTTCCTGTATGTCCTTAACTTAATTCCTATGCTATTTGGACTTGACTACGGGGAACTTGCATTAAAGGCAAAGCCAAAAAAGGCAACATGCTCGAGTCACTGCCGGCTGGCTGCCAAAGCCAAACCAGCTGCTGGTTGCCTGGTACAAAATACAAATCCAAATCAAGAACCATTGTCATTGACATGTGGGGCGGGCACATCACAGCAAGGCAAAAGAACCCCGGCACATCCTTTGGAAACATGTCTGAGCGCAATTACGTTGATTACTCTATATAAATATATATTCTAAATGGAAGGCAAAAGATAGCAAAAGCAAATAACAAACATGCAGGTTGAATCATCAAAGTGCAGGTTGAAGGTGAACTCATTTGTCCCAATCACTCATGAAGTCTGCTAAAAAGCAGGCAAGACTGGTGCGGGTTGTCCAAACCATCCAGTAGTAGCCTCAACCATTACGTGCTGTGATGTTGGAGCACATGACGTGAAAACATACAAAAACAGGCCCAGACAACGGGCATTTCATGTTTATGCCAAGCAGCATGCTACTCGAGTTTGACATAATGAAGTCACTTGACCAGTGAGTGAGTGAGCAAAGCATCTAGTCCGCGAGCACGCGATCAGCATACCTGCTGCCTAGATCTGCCTAGATCTTCAAGTCTGCAGGACTTACTTTGGCCTTGTCAGGATTCATTCTCAGCCAGGGGTGCGGCGGCTGCACCGCCAAACAAAGTAGCACCTGCCTAGGCACACTTCGCAGTCCAGGTCTGTGTTTGGACAGGTGATCATTTTCTTTTCTGGTGAACGATCTCTGCACTGAGTCTCGGGCGCCACCGGCCAGCAATCCCCCATCCCAGCCGCCAAGCCATCCCTCCTGGCTTGTTTGCTGGCGGCCAGTGACTGTGTGTTCTGCTGGCGAGTGCCGCTGGCTATGGTACCGGTAATCTTTTTTCATGTGCTGTCACTGCTGTCGGTCTGAAGTTGCGCACGTCAGTTGAAGCGTTGAAGCGTCCTGAGGTGGAAAGAAGTAGTTGTAAGTTGACCTGCCAGGAGAGCATTCTTACCACTAGGAACAAGAAGCTACTAGGGGCTCCTGGCCTTACTACTAGGACTACTAGGGGCTCCTGGCATCGCTACTAGGAGCATTCTTACTATGCACATCTATGATCATTCTGCATGTGACATGGCCTCGCAGCTCCAACGACTGCGCTGAACACCACTGGTCCCGCCTAGGTCACAGAAATGTCAGAAAGCTGAAATGACCGTCCATGAGCGTTCATGGCACGCATGTGCCAATGATAAGTCCTGATGGATGCATCATGATTGGTAATGATGGTTTGAAGACCTCTTCCAAGAATCTAGCAGTCCACAAAGCTGTCATCGGGTTCTCTTTTGCATACCTGAGCCAACTCCAAATTCTACACTGGTGGAGTTGACACAACCAGCACATGAAGGCAATGGCTTGAGAAGTGCAGTTCAAAACAGAACCACCAATTTGGGCGCTGGCTCAACAGCATTGAGCACATAGGAATTGCCTGCCAAAGTGCTTACTCCTGGCTGGTCTGGCGGCAACACAAAGAGTCTGCGACAACAGGTTCTGCCAGGCTTTTCTGGGAATCAAAACCACAAAGCGCGTTTACTCTAGCATGATTGCTGGAACCAAGCATGGCTTCAACTGTGGCGCGAAAAAATATTGAGCCTGGCACTGAGGTCAAAAACCTTGGAACAACGTCGAGTTTCTGTGCACGGGTGCAGCTTCATCTGTTTTCCCCAGCTAGCTCACAAATCTCGGAGTGTTCGTGGCCAAGTTCAAAAACAGTGTTGTTTGCAACCCTTTTGCCATGGAGGGGCCGAGCCACCCCAAAGGGACAGCCTGGCCGTTGTCACCTTCGACAGAACTTCCTCCAACGCCTTTGCTCTCCTTGCAACGAGGATCGAGGTGACCGAGCCCAAGGTCTCTGCCCCCGTGCTAAATCCTACCATTTAAAAACAAAGAGACACCTACAAATAATTGAACATTTAAATCAGAACAACCCCCAAGAATAAATATTTTACTATATATCAAATATTCTATATATTTTCCATAAAATTAAGATATAGAATATTTTAAGAATATATATGGAATAATATATGTCAAGTATCAGAGTGGTTGATGTTAATAATGAAGAAACTAAAGAAGTTGAACCAAAACAACCAATTGAAGAAACAAAGGAAGAGCAACCGGCAGAAACACCAGTAGAACCAATTGAAGAAGAAGCAAAAGAAGAGATTTAACATGAAGTTGTTGAAGAAACTAATGAAGCAGCATCTAAAAAAAGACTAACACAAAAAGATAAGATACAATGTAAAAAATGTTTGAAAGACATGACGGTCAAATCTTACAGATACTCTCACGAAAAAAACTGTCAAGGTCAAATAACAGAGAAACCAGTTGAGCCTCAAAGCAAACCAAAATCAAAACCTAAACCTAAACCTCAACCAGTTCAAGAAGAAGAAGTAATACATCAATCTGTTCCAAGTGTTCCAGTTGTTCCAAGGGTTTCAAACCCATTACAAGATCTAACAAATGATTACCAACTACTATAAAATGAATACATCAAACAGAAGCAACAAAGGTATAGCGTTTTATGTAAAAATATGTTTGAAGCAACACCTAAAAACAGATGATAATAATAATATAATCTAAATTACATATATTAATGAGTTCATTGTCATTAGATGGAGGTAGTAGATACATCGGCACAGAATTCTTAAAATTAGAAATAACCGGAACATCAGAATTAGCAACGCAAAACTATGTTGATGACCAAATTGTATTAGGTGCTATTGGTGATACTTATACACAAGCACACATTGATGGTTTTTTTGGTTCTAAAGCAAACACAAGTTCTGTAGTAGGAAATTTCTATACACAAACACAAGTTGATAATTCATTAGCATTAAAGGCGAATCAATCTACAACATATACTAAAACAGAAGTTGATAGTTCATTAGCACTAAAAGCAAACCAAGCAACTACATACACTAAAAACAGAAGTTGATACAGCAGTAGGATTGAAAGCCAATAGTGCAGATGTATATACAAGAATTGAAATAGACACTAATAATTATACAAAAACAGAAGTTGATACAGCATTAGCATTAAAGGCTAATCAAGCAACTACATATACAAAAACTGAAAATGATACAACATTAGCACTCAAAGCCAATCAAGCAACAACTTATACACAAACAGAAGTTGATACAGCAGTAAATGACAAAGTAAGTTAACTGGAACAGACCAAACAATGACAGGAAAACTGACAGCAACAACATTAGAAGCGACAACTTTGAGAGCATCGGATCCTAACGACAGTAATATAGTAAAAGACATTACGACGTTTTTATCAGGTGGAGGTGGGGGGGGGTTATACTGATGGTGAGATTGATAAATTTTTAAACGGTAAAATTGATAGAGTGAGTGGAGTAGAACAATCAGTGTCCAGTAATTTTAATGTATTAGGTCAGCTGAAAACTCATACTGTGAATACAAATGGTGATGTTGATATGGCATTTTTTAGGAATGATGTTTCATATTTTACATTAGATGCTACTTCAATTAGTGCCAGTCAGCCAATAACAACTGCTACAATAAACACAAATACCATAAATACCGATGGTGATGTTAATTTAAATTTTCAACAAAATTCAGACAATTTTATGTATTTTGACGCTGGAAATGATACAATTGAATTGAATACAGCATTGAATAGCAATAGTGATATTGCTTCAACAATTTTAAAGGGGGAGACATTATCAAATAGCATTAGACACAACAACAAACAATATTTATTGTAAACACAATGGCACTACTATATAAAATGGAAGTTCAAACTGATAAGATAGTTTTGAGTGATGCATTTGAGATGCCATACAATAAATCAATAAAATGGAGAAAAAATGATATCATTGAAGGAGTTGATACAAATCATTCTACATTTCGTTTTGTAGCACCTACTAATAATTGTTCTCACGAGTTCATTGTTGGTAATATTCTAAATAATGCTCAAAAGATATTGACAATTAATAATACAGAAGTTTTAGCAAGAAGGACATTCAAATCTAACAGTTTTGATAGTGAAAATAATACGGATGTTTCATTCAAAAGGAACAATGTAGAGTTTATGAGATTTGATATTGTTGATGGATTTTCAAGAGTTGAAACACCAATGAGATTAGCGTTAACAGGAGGATTGAATGAAAGCGTTATATATGAAGCAAATGAAGTAACACAAAATGCTTTACGCATTTGGAATAATGATACAACATTAGCAAATTCAATGGTTTCTATCGGTGTAGGTGCTCAACCTAATGTTTTCTTTTGTAGAAGTAACTTTGCTCAATGTAATGAAGAGTTTAGAGTTAATACAATTAATACTATTGGTGCTACTGATTTAGTGTTTCAAACAAATGGTGTTGAGTATATGAGGTTTGATAATTCAGCGCAGGAAATTAATGTAAAACAGAAATTAAGATTAACAGGTGGTGAAGGTAAGATGGTAGTATGGGAAAACACAGAAAGCACCAATAGCGTAGTAAGAATATGGAACAACGAAGAAACATTAACACCAGTTTTAGATTTAGGGGTCGGTGCTAATGGAACCCAAATTAAAATGCAACCCGATTTGGTTATTATTAATGATGCTGAATTAAGAGTTAACACAATAAATTCTAATGGTGATAATAACTTAGTCCTTCAACAGAACGGGACAACAATAGCATTTTATGATAAAGATGATGTCAATTATCCAAGTGGATTGTTTAAGTTTGATGTAGATGTTAGTGTTTTAACAAGTAAGTTTGTTCAATGTAATACGCTGAAAGCACATATATTTGATACTCACGACAGTTTAGAACCCAATGATGTTTCATTCAGGTATGATGAAACTACATATATGTTGTATGATAGTTCATTGAGTAATTTACAATTGAGAACAAACATTGTATCAGATAGTAATATTGAATTCATAGATTTGACCAAGACATCGGATATAAATTTAAAGACTGATATACATGAACTACATTCACACTGTAGTGATATTATTAAGAAAATTAAAGTAAAGAAATTCAAATACAAAGATGACACCAAGAAAAAGAATTGTAAAGGGTATATAGCACAAGATGTAAGGGAATCAATACCAACGGATATTGAACATGTTGTTAGAGACGGTCAAGACCATATGGTAATGAATTACGGTAACATGACCTGCTTTTTATGGAAAGCACTACAAGAAACTTTAGAAAGAGTTGATAAGTTAGAAGAAGAAATCATTGAACTTAAAAAACCTAAACCACAGGCAAAAGCAAAAGAAAAGAAAACAACGGTAGAATTTCAAATATATAATAATATATAGGATGGGTGGCAGTCAGAGCAAAAAATGTAATGAAAATAATGTTATAGAACAAATAAAAAACAATGATGAAAATGAATTAGATATGTCAAATATAGATAAACTACAATTACAAGCGATTAAAGAAGCAGTAAATCGTATAGAAAAATTAGAAAAAGACAAACAAACAAAGATGTTGTATGCTATACCTAAGGTAGATTTGTGTAATTGGAGTTTTTTTAATTAATAGTCTTTACAATATTACTATTAAAATCTACCATTATCGTTTTTTGTCAATTCTTATTTTAAACACATTATTTATATCGCTTTCCATTAGATTTACAAATAAGAAACTGTATTTTTCTTCAGTTGCTTTTTCATAGATTTCTAATAGAGTCTTTTTAGCATTATGAACATTTTTATCATCAACTAACAAGTTCTTCTTAATGAGTAGCGCAGACAACTCTTCAACCATTGTCTGTATTTCTTATAGTTTCTCGTTTTGAACACATATAATTGTCTGCTATTTACCCTGATGATTGTTGATAATGAATTAAACTTTTGCGATGAGCTGACCACATTTACCCCCAAATGGCGACCCCTTATGTAAAGAGCATTCAACATACTATTATGTTTTGAAAATGACACTTGATCTACAAAATCATCAACAACAACTAATGTAGCAAACAGTTTTTTAAACTTATGATCTTTTTGATACTGGCTTATTTTATATCGTTGTTCAAGTATTTCTTCTAAATCTTCTTTTTGGAACTCATCAAAATACACTTTCTCTTTTTTTTGTATCTACTTTCAATTCTTTCTCTATATAATCCTTGACTGGATGCCAAACACTATCAACGTGAATACTTGCACTGAATATGAACACTCTTTGAAAGCAATTCCGGTAAATATCCAATATCATATTTTGAAGCAGTATAGACTTACCAGATCCAGATGGGCCAACTACAATTTGCGAAAACGGTATTCTTGGAGCAACGTCGTATTTTGATTGTGGAAACTCATATTCTGTCATTTTATGAGGTGTTACTATTGGTATTAAATTGTCTTTCATAATATAAAGTATTTAGAAAATAAAATATGTTTGATAATATTGACTGGTACTTCTACGCGAACAGAGAACAGAAGAAGGGCAATCAATGCCCACAAGCGGTTAATTAGTTTGTTGCTAGTGAAATGCCCCAAGATTGGCAGTGAGAAAATCGCCAAAAAACAGTTCAACTAACAGAATGACGCTGCCATTCTGTTAGTTCAAGAGTTTTAGTGTTTACAGTGTAAAAACTAAAACTGTTCCAGCATAATTAGTTTGTGCGTCCCCATTTTCATCCAAGTTTGGCAACCCTGCGTGGCGTGGACTGCGGTAGCCTCGCCTACCGATATATCCGATATACACCATCCGCTCAATTCGTTCATGTCACTGGGTTTCGTACGGCCTGAAGCATCCACAGCTCAGCTGAGATACTACTGATAATGTCTGCACGCTTCCACTCGACGTTCTAGCAGACCAAAACATACGTGCACTTCGCGCCAAGTCAATACAGCAGGCGCTCTGGCTGGAGAAAGAACAAGGGAGCACAACCTATGATCAAGTTCAATGTTACTCCTAAAGCTACACAACCGTAACCTCAGTTCTGATGCTTCTGAATAAATATCTGTAGACTAATTAAGCCACATGATTAATGATGGTTGGTTAGGTATGGCCTTGCCCATCTTCCAATAGCTCCAACCCCAACCCAAACTTTAACAACTAACCATCTCAACATCTCAAAAACCCTAGGGTCCCCCCCACCCTTTCCAAATTCCAATCAAAAAATGGAAAAAAAAACATCTTTTCAACAAGTCCCCGAGACCAATAAATGATAACAAAACTTGAAAACATCTATTGGAAGATGGGCAAGGCTAGGTTAATAGAAATTCGCTAGCCACCACCGAAACCAATCCACTACCTCATTCAACACAGCCAATTTCACCAAAACCCACAACATCCAGCACAAACTCCGAAGGCGCTTTTTCACTCATCTACATCCCACTCAACCGGCTCTTCAGCAATTGCATCTGCTACACTTTGACCAGCAATGCCCAAGCATTGTCGCACATAGTCCATCCTATCCGGACAATGGCTCTTGAACACATCCAGCTCTTTGTCAGGATTTGGAAATTCGGAATGCTGTCGATGAGCCATTCTGGCCTGCATGTAAAGGCTTCGCATAAAGGGCCGAGGAGAGATCTGGATGACCTTTCCATGTAGCTCTCCCAACTGCATAAGCTTCTGTGGATAAATCAACTCCCTTCCTTTTTGCACAGGCTCAACACTATGAACACACCACTCTTGGTCAGGTTTTTTTCTGATGTCAGCCTTCGAATACACCCACTGCAAAGGAGTACGGTGGAGATCAAGCGCTATAAGAATTTTGACCGTAATGGTGTTTGGTCCTTGCAGATTTGTTGCAGCACAGGGAAAAAAGGGTCATATCTCCGTCTTGATATAGAACTTCAAAATGTTTCAGGAGAGGGAGGCCATTGCTTGGGTCTGCAATATCAATACCAAGAGCGCTAGCACCTTGAGATTGCTTCTTGTGGTAGATGTGCTCAGACACGCAGAACCCAAAATATTCCTCAGGGCATTGCTGGCAAAACCATGTGTGCGTCTCTGGGTGGGTCTGACTAAGTATAATGCACCCCCATATTCCATAATGCGCACAAACTTTTGCATGCCAGTCAGCATCCCACGAACTTGATGATGCAGGGACGAGTTCAAAGGCCTGCTGACAAAGAGGAACCAAGGTCTGCATCACCTTCTCTTGCGCTTTCGCATTCTCTTCTTCAATCTTCTGCGTCACCTTCTCTTGCGCTTTCGCATTCTCTTCTTCAATCTTCTGCTCAATCTTCTCTTGCATCTTGATGATGTCAGAAAGGCTGACCTGCCAAAACATTTAGGTTTGTCGTTCTTAAACCCTTTGCATGGTTGCCCAATCTCTGCTTAAGATTGTCTCTAAACCCTATCCCCTCCACCAAGAACACACACTGAAACCATCACTTTTTTCTGAACCTGCGCCTGTGCTGATGATGATGCATCTGGGCATTCGTCAGGATATGAAACATAGAGAGGGTCAAGGTCATCGTTCCCTCCTCTGACATGATGAACTGATAGGCTGTTGCGGACTGCCTGGCCTTCATGGGAATCTTTCTCCCTCTCAAAGAGCTTCAACATGTGAATGGGAACTTCAAGGCAGGTCTTGGTCTTTGCGATCTCCAAGATGTTGTAGGCGTTCTTTGTTTTTGCAAGCTCTTCCTCATAAATCATAATCGAACTGCCACTGCCTTTCACTTTCACCCACCAAAACGCTCTTGAACTTTCCATGGCAGCAAAGCCTGCCTTTATTGTCAAACAATTAATCGATTCTGAAAGCATTTGCGAAGTGTATGTCAAATGTATGTTGTAAATTCTGTTTTTTTGGGACCGTCCTGTTCAATTTGTGCCTTCAAATCTTCAATGATTGAAACTTGCGCGAAACTTGCGCCACAAATTATTGCGTCAAGCACGGATCAGCACTCACACAGCTAAAAGACATTTCATCTAATCTCCAAAGCTTACCAAAATGCGGAACGACCTCCCAAGAAAAAACACAACTACTTCATTCAATACCAACAATTTCACCCAATTCCATCTCATTACCCTATTCAAAAATAACAGTTATTTAGCACATTTTGTCGCCAAACGTGCTGAATTCAACCAAACATCACTGAATAGTAACTTTACTATTTAATCATTTTGCCCGAGCTAGCAATAATTCTTCTCAAAGTCGTCATACTTAATATTGTAATACTGAAGTGTTGAAAGTTTCGGTTCTTTGATTGATTTCTCATTCAATTTTCCAAGATATATGTTTCTTTTGTTTTTGTAGCTTGGGTCATTTTCATCAGCAACTTTTGTAGTCTTCGGCTTCCATTCCAGCTTCTTCAGCCTTTCCTCCAAGTCTTGAAACTTCAACTGAAAATAAATAAAATTCTTCACTACTTCTTCTGATACATCATTAATATGGTTGGTGTTCTTCATTTTGTTCTTGCTTGATTCCTTTCGCAAGTCTTCTAACTTCTCCTCGTAAGACATATATATATATATATTAACATAGATTTCTAAAACCAAACTTTTTATTTGATAAATTTTCCCGCGTTTAAACTACTCTTTAAATCATTTTGTTGGAAAAGTAAAACAAAGACCTTGGACTTGTGAATGTGGTTTGACAATTTTCAACAGCGAGTTGCCGTTGATTTCGATTCAATCGTCTTCAGTCTCAAGAGACAAGAAACTGCCACTTGATTCCGACATCAGCCGTCTTAACATGTCCTGTCTTAACTTGTTCACCCCTTTTGAAAGGCCCCTATTGCAGGGAACCGCTGGAAACGAACACCATGAGAGTCATCGTGTGCAGGGAACCGTTGGACCTT